ATGAGAAATTTGTGAAATTCAATGGACCTTTCACCTAGCGCTTCTTTCGGGGATTATTTTACGGCAGATGTACAATTTATTGTAGATAAATAATAACATTGCTATCCCTGCTGTTATGCAATAATACCTTCCAACCAATAATCTAATAAAATTTTCCCTCAAATATTGTCATGATGAGACAGCAAATTGGAAAGACAATATTATTTTTCATCCACCAGACATACGAAACGACACATTTGGATCTCCACCTCCTTCGGCGTCTTCTTTTACTGCGTCTTCTTCTGGTCCTACTGGGTTTGCGTCGCTTTCTCCTGCTACGCCTTTTTACGTCGTCCTCTTACAAGCTTCAGCGTAATATTTTTGATTATCCCTACGTGACATTTTACACCAACATTTTGCGTATTCAACCGCCACTCCTTCCTGAACCGACGGAAATAGTTCAAGAAAGGATTGCTGGTGATCAGACCCTGGCGATGACAGTTTCTACTAGAGGATCTCCTATTACTCCTCTTACGTTGGAGACGTCGCGCAGTGGTTCTACGTCTTCTGCGTTGACTGCAACTGTGTTTTCTTCGACGCAGACAATTTTCAATACGACTCAATATATTAGTTTCTTCACTTTATGAGAAATTTGTGAAATTCAATGGACCTTTCACCTAGCGCTTCTTTCGGGGATTATTTTACGGCAGATGTACAATTTATTGTAGATAAATAATAACATTGCTATCCCTGCTGTTATGCAATAATACCTTCCAACCAATAATCTAATAAAATTTTCCCTCAAATATTGTCATGATGAGACAGCAAATTGGAAAGACAATATTATTTTTCATCCACCAGACATACGAAACGACACATTTGGATCTCCACCTCCTTCGGCGTCTTCTTTTACTGCGTCTTCTTCTGGTCCTACTGGGTTTGCGTCGCTTTCTCCTGCTACGCCTTTTTACGTCGTCCTCTTACAAGCTTCAGCGTAATATTTTTGATTATCCCTACGTGACATTTTACACCAACATTTTGCGTATTCAACCGCCACTCCTTCCTGAACCGACGGAAATAGTTCAAGAAAGGATTGCTGGTGATCAGACCCTGGCGATGACAGTTTCTACTAGAGGATCTCCTATTACTCCTCTTACGTTGGAGACGTCGCGCAGTGGTTCTACGTCTTCTGCGTTGACTGCAACTGTGTTTTCTTCGACGCAGACAATTTTCAATACGACTCAATATATTAGTTTCTTCACTTTATGAGAAATTTGTGAAATTCAATGGACCTTTCACCTAGCGCTTCTTTCGGGGATTATTTTACGGCAGATGTACAATTTATTGTAGATAAATAATAACATTGCTATCCCTGCTGTTATGCAATAATACCTTCCAACCAATAATCTAATAAAATTTTCCCTCAAATATTGTCATGATGAGACAGCAAATTGGAAAGACAATATTATTTTTCATCCACCAGACATACGAAACGACACATTTGGATCTCCACCTCCTTCGGCGTCTTCTTTTACTGCGTCTTCTTCTGGTCCTACTGGGTTTGCGTCGCTTTCTCCTGCTACGCCTTTTTACGTCGTCCTCTTACAAGCTTCAGCGTAATATTTTTGATTATCCCTACGTGACATTTTACACCAACATTTTGCGTATTCAACCGCCACTCCTTCCTGAACCGACGGAAATAGTTCAAGAAAGGATTGCTGGTGATCAGACCCTGGCGATGACAGTTTCTACTAGAGGATCTCCTATTACTCCTCTTACGTTGGAGACGTCGCGCAGTGGTTCTACGTCTTCTGCGTTGACTGCAACTGTGTTTTCTTCGACGCAGACAATTTTCAATACGACTCAATATATTAGTTTCTTCACTTTATGAGAAATTTGTGAAATTCAATGGACCTTTCACCTAGCGCTTCTTTCGGGGATTATTTTACGGCAGATGTACAATTTATTGTAGATAAATAATAACATTGCTATCCCTGCTGTTATGCAATAATACCTTCCAACCAATAATCTAATAAAATTTTCCCTCAAATATTGTCATGATGAGACAGCAAATTGGAAAGACAATATTATTTTTCATCCACCAGACATACGAAACGACACATTTGGATCTCCACCTCCTTCGACGTCTTCTTTTACTGCGTCTTCTTCTGGTCCTACTGGGCTTGCGTCGCTTTCTCCTGCTACGACTTTCTACGTCGTCCTCTTACAAGCTTCAGCGTAATATTTTTGATTATCCCTACGTGACATTTTACACCAACATTTTGCGTATTCAACCGCCACTCCTTCCTGAACCGACGGAAATAGTTCAAGAAAGGATTGCTGGTGATCAGACCCTGGCGATGGCAGTTTTTACTAGAGGATCTCCTACGACTCCTCTTACGACAGAGACGTCGCACAGAGAGAGGTTCTACGTCTGCGGCGTTGACTGCAACTGTGTTTTCTTTGACGCAGACAATTTTCAATACGACTCAATATATTAGTTTCTTCACTTCATGAGAAATTTGTGAAATTCAATGGACCTTTCACCTAGCGCTTCTTTCGAGGATTATTTTACGGCAGATGTACAATTTATTGTAGATAAATAATAACATTGCTATCCCTGCTGTTATGCAATAATACCTTCCAACCAATAATCTAATAAAATTTTCCCTCAAATATTGTCATGATGAGACAGCAAATTGGAAAGACAATATTATTTTTCATCCACCAGACATACGAAACGACACATTTGGATCTCCACCTCCTTCGGCGTCTTCTTTTACTGCGTCTTCTTCTGGTCCTACTGGGCTTGCGTCGCTTTCTCCTGCTACGACTTTCTACGTCGTCCTCTTACAAGCTTCAGCGTAATATTTTTGATTATCCCTACGTGACATTTTACACCAACATTTTGCGTATTCAACCGCCACTCCTTCCTGAACCGACGGAAATAGTTCAAGAAAGGATTGCTGGTGATCAGACCCTGGCGATGGCAGTTTTTACTAGAGGATCTCCTACGACTCCTCTTACGACAGAGACGTCGCACAGAGAGAGGTTCTACGTCTGCGGCGTTGACTGCAACTGTGTTTTCTTTGACGCAGACAATTTTCAATACGACTCAATATATTAGTTTCTTCACTTCATGAGAAATTTGTGAAATTCAATGGACCTTTCACCTAGCGCTTCTTTCGAGGATTATTTTACGGCAGATGTACAATTTATTGTAGATAAATAATAACATTGCTATCCCTGCTGTTATGCAATAATACCTTCCAACCAATAATCTAATAAAATTTTCCCTCAAATATTGTCATGATGAGACAGCAAATTGGAAAGACAATATTATTTTTCATCCACCAGACATACGAAACGACACATTTGGATCTCCACCTCCTTCGGCGTCTTCTTTTACTGCGTCTTCTTCTGGTCCTACTGGGCTTGCGTCGCTTTCTCCTGCTACGACTTTCTACGTCGTCCTCTTACAAGCTTCAGCGTAATATTTTTGATTATCCCTACGTGACATTTTACACCAACATTTTGCGTATTCAACCGCCACTCCTTCCTGAACCGACGGAAATAGTTCAAGAAAGGATTGCTGGTGATCAGACCCTGGCGATGACAGTTTCTACTAGAGCAGCGGTTCCCAAACTTTTTAAGTCGCGGAGCACTTTTGGACAGGAAAATTTAACGCGGAGCACTAGAGTAGGCTGTTTGATGGTTTCAACTGCCTGCAACTGGATATAGGTCTTTGTTCAATTTTAGAAACGTACATTGAAGAAACAAATATTTATTAAACAAAAAGAACAACTAACTCTAGCACAGAAAAAAATGTAATATTTATTAAATATACCTAATATAAGCCAAAAGCAAATTTTAAAAGTAATGTGTGAAAATAACATAAAACAAAAACTTATTTCGATACAAAAATGAAACATAAAACATACATCCAAAAACAAAACTACAACTACTTAATAAAACCACAAACTTTTCTAATGAGAAGGATGTGCTTGTTTTAATTTGCTTAATGCTGTGATGTTAGGTTCAATTTCAGACAACTGTAAACGAATATCAGGTTCTGTATTAAGACGCGACCGGTATTTAGTTTTGGTCATAAGATAAGCAGAAAATCCAGCTTCACATAAATAAGTAGTAGCAAAAGGGAGCAGAATAGTTTTTGCTTTATCTGGCAGAAGATGAAATTCATGTCTTAAGTTTACACCAAAATTCTATTATTGATGACTTTGTTAGAAATATATCTCGTATTCCAGAATCAGATGTCAAGTCGATCAAACATTCATATTCTTCAGATGTTAAACTCGCTGGCTTTTCAGGTATTGAGTTATATGGGTTTGCAACCCAAGAATTGTAATTCATTTTGTCATGAAATTCTTCTGGAAAATATTCCTGGTAATTATTGCGACCAATTTTCTTTTAAACGCTTTTATTCTGTCGTTAACATCAAAAACAGAAATTGACTTTCCTTGAAGTGACGTGCTTAAATCATTAGCTTTAGAAAAAATATCAGCCAGATATGCCAACTTTGATATCCATTGCTCTTCGTTAAATCTCCCTTTTAATGCGAAGTCACTTTCCATCAAAAAACTCCTTACTTCGGCTCTTAATTCAAATAGCCGAGTTAAAGTTTTGCCCCGTGAGAGCCATCTTATCTCCGTATGAAGCAGTAAAGTCGTATGTAGACTACCCATATCATCACACAATATTTTAAACAACCTGGAATTTAGGGGGCGAGATTTGATATAATTAATTATTCTTACACATTCATCCAAAACTTCTTTTAAGGAAGGTGACATTTTTTTGACGGCTAATGCATGACGATGAAGAACACAGTGACTATTATTGCAGTTACTATTTTTTTCTTTAATTCTAGCTACAACACCACTTGTTTTTCCAGTCATAGCCTTTGCGCCATCGGTGCATACATCAATGCAATTCTTCCAAGGTATATCATGTGCAACAAAAAATTCGTCAAGCAATTTAAAAATCTCAGCCCCAGTAGTACTAGTTGGTAGTGGCTTGCAAAAAAGCAAATCTTGAAAAGAGTTGCCAAATTGGAAGCGAACAAAAACTATCAATACAGCCAATCCAGCCACATCTGTCGATTCATCAAGCTGTAGCGAAAAGGAACTACCTTTTATTCGAGAAATTAAAGTGTTTTTTACGTCATCAGCCATTTCTACAATGCGCCTAGAAATAGTGTTATTTGATAGTGGAACTGTAGTAACTAGTTTCACATCCTTTTCATCCATCATAGTTTCAACTATATCTTTGACGCAAGGCTTGATTAAAGTTTCAGCAATAACATGAGGCTTGCTGCTTTAGCGATTCGGTAACTAACTAAGTAGGATGCTTTTAACGACCTTTCGTTCAGTGCCTGTGCATGAAAAGTTATACTTTTTTGTGTATTTTTTAATTCACTGGATTTTCTTTGAAAAAAATCATTCGGTTTGTCTTTACTTCAGGATGAACTCCTTCCAAATGTCGTCGCATTTTCGCTGGAAACATAGCACTGTTGGGTAACACTTTACCGCATATTACACATTGTGGTTTATTGTCGTTGGTTTCAATGAATCCTATATCCAGATAAGAATCATGGTATTTTCGTTTTGCAGTTTTTCTCTCACAAATACTCATCTTTGATGGACCAGATGTTTGACAATCAATTACTTCAGCTGATGTTAGTACACTCGCAACAGACTCGGATTTTCTCAATATCTGCAATTCTGTGTCTTCAGTGTGAGCTATTTCCCTATTTTCTTTTTCCATATTGCTAAAAACAATACTCGATTCAGACAAATACTTTTAAAAATAAGATTTTAAAAATCTGGCACCTACCCGTTCCCAAAAAACTCACACACAAGCACAAAAAACTGCTATTGTAGTAGGGGAAATATGCCTAAAACGAAATATGCGTTGCCACTTATACAGTAATTTTTATTCAAACGTAAGTATCCCATTTTACCAGTATTTCCCCTACCTTAAAATGTACAAATCCGTACCTGTTGGAGTTAGATCCCTGCATTTCTGCATCTGTAGCTGAAATCGCTGTTTTCTTCAAAACACCTGTTTTAAGCCAAAGATCCATTATAAAACAAGTAAATTTAACCTGGGAATAGATATTTCACCATAAAAAAAGATACATGTATGTTAGTTAACCTACTTACGAATGATAACTTATCCCAACTTCAATTCAATTAGTGAAATTCAAAGGCACAATCGCAAAAAATAAATAAAAACTGTGTTATCTCTTTACGATGCACCCGACACACATTTAGCGAACGTAAATCGTATGTTCCGGAAAGAACAAGTCATATCCTAGCATTAATACGAAAAAATACGATTGTTTCCGAACTGTTCCGGCGCACAGTACATTGAAGTGCGGCGCGGCGAATCTTTGCATTAGTAAGGGGCTTGATGTAACATCAAGGAAAATATAACATTATAGGTATTACTTGAATACGCTATTTCTCAGATGAAATCCGCGGAGCACTTGAAAACGTACCACGGAGCACCTTGTGTTCCGCGGAGCACAGTTTGGGAACCGCTGTTCTACACTAAAAGCGGTTTTTTCGATAGAGTTTGGATGCATCTCTATTTGATGAAATCCGGAAGCTAAATCTAAAGTACTGAAGTATTGACATCTACCTAACTTGTCCAATATATCGTTAATATTAGGTAATGGATATCGATCACTTATTGTTTTTTCGTTCAGCTTTCGAAAATCTGTTACTATTCTCCATTTTTGTTTCCCACTAGCATCCATCTTCTTACTAACGATCGAGATAGGTGAGCTATAAGGACTTTGACTAGGACGTATAATTCCATCGTCTAACATTTTATTTATCTGTCTTTGAACTTCCTCTTTATGAACAAAGGGATAACGATAATTTTTTGTATGTACTGGAATTTCATCAGTAGTTTTTATTTCATGTTTAATAATATTAGTGAACGTTAGCTTTTCGTTTTCATTGTAAAATATATCCCTAAACTCATGGCAAACTTTTAATAAAGTCTGTTTTTCCTCACTGTTCAAATGATCAGTCCTAATTAATTTCGATACTTTGTGTATGCTTTCGTCACTATGTTTTAGTTCACCAATAATATCCTCAATATGAAAAATATAAAAGTTATCACTAACTTCTTTAGAATATTCAATTACGTCTATCGGATTTGAAAAATCTATCGTTATTTGTTCATCTGAATGGTTATAAACTTCTGTATAATCAAATCATTCCTTCGAAGTAGTCAAGGTCTCAGGGAAATATAAGCCATTTATTTCACCTTCAGGGATTATAACGGGGCTATTGTTAATGCTCACAGGAACTTTGATAAGAGCTACCTCGTGTGCATTTATCGTTATGCTATATGGTTCAGTGTCAAGTTCACGGAAAAATATGGGAATACGCAATGACTCACTAATTAAATGTCGATTAGTAAGGTCTATGTTGAGATTTAAACGTAGTAATTGTTTTAATCCTAATATGCCGTCAAAAAATGGATGGAAATCAAATTAAATGAAAGTGATAAAATCATCTGATTCAAATTCTGGGAATGATGGCAGATCGGCTTTAAATTGAACTTCTTTTTCTCCTACGCCTGTCTTTAATCTTGAAACTGAATGGTAAATACGTTCTGGAAAGTATTTTTCTACTATTCTAGGGCGTATCATCGAATGTGAACATCCTGTGTCAATGAGTAACTTTAAGGGTGGATTTTGAATTTTGATGTAGGGTAAAGAGTTGTCAAGATCGGAATGGATTTCGATTATGTTTTGTGGGTGCCTTGGCCCTTGTAATAAAAATTTGGATCTGATTCATAATTTGTGGACGAAGAGGCAGAAGCATGTTGAGCTTCAACATTTTGAGTTTTTGAAAATGGTTTTGGATTTCTGGTTGTTTCGGGTTGTTCGGTTTCGTAACTTTCGTCGTTTTGAGTGTCATCTATTTGATATAGTTCTTCCGCAATGAAATTTCTGGGTCCCGAGGGCTGGAAATGATTTTGCCTTTGGGGATAGTTCGGTTTATAAGTATTTCTGGTTGAAACTGACATAGGCTGTGGGGAATTATGCGGTACTGTTCCCCTGGGCTTGAAGACGTTCGTGTTTCTGGGTGGTCCGAAAACTTCTTGATTTGTTGGATAGCGTTTTTGAAAATTATTATTTCGACTTTGGATGTTTATCGGCTGACTTGGGAAATTATTCCGGTTTCTGTCAGCTGGAAAAGTTTGTGGAGGTCGATAACTTTGTTGAAAATTCGACTGATGAGGAGCTTGAAATTTTTGATAATGAAAATTCTGATTTGGTGCCTGATTACGGTAATTGTTATTTGAATGTCCAAACTTTGTCTGTGGTTTAGAATATGAATTTTGTGTGTTACTACATGGAGTCTTTGAGTGATTTGGGAATTTGAAAATGTTTTGCGTATACTGGAAATTTTCTTCCTCAATAATATATGCCATTGCTTCTTCTAGAGATGAAGGATTTTTCAAACGAATAACCGTTTGTAAAGGTCCTGATAATCCGCGCACAAATGCTCTCAAACAGATACCGTCGTACTGCTTCATCATTGCGACTTTTACTTCGGGCGTTGAGTCTGAAATACTCAACAATTTCTGTGCAAGAGTACTCCTTAAAATTTGAAGTCTTTTTCCGAAATCTAAGGGTGACTCATTTCTATTTGGTGAGGCCAGAAACAGATCTTGTTCCAAGCATTCTAAACTTCTATTATCACCAAAACACTGCTCTAAAGCATTTTTTATTAAAGACCAGCTATTTAATTCTGTTCTACAGCCAACCAAAAGTTGAGCCCTACCAACTAATTTAGTCTGTATCGCTCTAAATAAGTATCTCTTAATCGTTTCTTCAGAAGTCTTGAATGTGTCGAATAGATAATCACATGATGAAATGAAGCTTGGTAGTGTATTGAAATTACCATCAAAATTTGGTATTGTATCTACAAACATGCGTAACATTTGTAAGCTATTTTCTGGGAATGCCATTTCTTCGGATTCTGATTCTGAATCAGTATTATTAGTTCTTAAGTTATTTAACTCGTTGATAATGTCTGATAATGACATAAAATCACAACTTTTCAAATAAGATCTCCTATACAGGGAAATCAATTTGAATGGGGCGAAAAGGAATTTTGGCTCTTACCTTCTACTCCTATCTTCTTGGAAGGCGGCAGGCAGAAGCAAGGGGCCAAGTTCTCGCTCTTGGGCTGTGGATTCTCGTTCGTTTCTGTAGGTCGAACGCCGAAGGGACGATACCCACGTTTTCACGAAACCGGTCACGATACCGCGAATTTTCGGAAAACTGCGTTTTATCCTACTGGATGACTGCGCCAGTTATGTTGCCGAGATGGCCGTTCGGGTTTTTAAAATACTTTATTTTTAGTTTTACAAGACAATACAATATACTTGATATATTTTATAATGGATAGATGTACAATACGGCGAACAAAATGAGTAATTTTATGGAAAGCATCAAGAACCTCTATTTATCATCTCGGCTTGGATGCTTTCCTCAGCATTTTCTTCTTCCACGTGCATCCTTTTCTGCATCATAACTTACATATATCAGTGTCTGGCAAATAATAAATAAAACATTCATTTTTGATGGTGATTGTGCCTGAAATTCTATAGACCTATCTATTATATCTCCGAATTCGTCGTTGAACTGAAATGAAATATCCTGAAGAATAACAATGTGATAAGTCCATATAAAAATCATACATACCTTTGAATAGTACTTGTATGCAAAAGCAAAATGATCTGCTGACATAACACCCATCCTTGCCAAGTTTGTAAAAAACGGCTAGTAGAATATTGCGGGTTGGGAATAATAAAATATCCACGGGAATACGTCAAACGTGCCTTTTTAAATAAGAGTAAACTTGTATGCGGTTTGGTATCCGAAAGGTATATAGATAAACTTTTTCTTCATAAACAAAGCGATTATATTTGGTACAAGTTAGTCCCTATTAGAAAAAAAAACTTGTTACCAAAACGTATAACAAAAGAATTAAATGTTAGACCATCCAGCAATGTCGCAATCCAGAACGTATGGTGACTTAGTCATCCCTAGCAATCCAAAGCAGAGGAGTGCGCGCTGGTTGAGTTGTCCGGTACCCGTACATCGAAGCTACATATTTATGATTCAACTTCTATTCCTCACCCCACAATGTCAACGCGAATATTCCTTAGGAATGGATTCACCACTGTTTCTGTGATGTATTAACGATATTGTATATGATCAATCCTACCCACAGCATTTCAATGCAAACAAGCCTATCTCTGCCGATGTGCTGGAGAGGAGAAGGCTAGTAGCGACTTTCGCTTTGACGAGAGATTGAGAAGTTAGCACTGGTTGTGAACACAATAATCTGGTACAAGTCAATGCTTCCAACAGACATTACTGTACCTTGACTTCATAAAACATTCCCAGTTTGTCGTATCACCTTGTTTCTAAAACGATCGAGTACTTGTCTGTTCTCCTTATTAATCAGAAGTGATTCTACGGTGCTATTAAAAAGATTTCCGTTATAACCTACAATGAAATCCGACTTTGTGTGTCTGAACTCTGGTACATGTTCACTCACATCTTTCAGTACATGGTGCAATATTTTGGCGGTTGATCTTTCCTTCGTGAATATTAAACCACAAATTTCCTCGTTTGAAGATGAACTGTTGAAAAGTGTCACGTTTATATTGCTATTGATATTTTTGACAATTACTTTTTCTAAAGTAGTTAAATGTTACGACAAACTGGGAATGTTTTATGAAGTCAAGGTACAGTAATGTGTGTTGGAAGCATTGAATTGTACCAGATTATTGTGTTCACAACCAGTGCTAACTTCTCAATCTCTCGTCAAAGCGAAAGTCGCTACTAGCCTTCTCCTCTCCAGCACATCGATAGATATAGGCTTGTTTGCATTGAAATGCAGTGGGTAGGATTGATCATATACAATATCGTTAATACATCACAGAAACAGTGTTGGATCCATTCCTAAGGAATACTAGCGTTGACATTGTGGGGTGAGGAATAGAAGTTGAATCATAAATATGTAGCTTCGATGTACGGGTAACGGACAACTCAACGAGCTCGCACTCCTCTGCTATGGATTGCTAGGGATGACTAAGTCACCATACGTTCTGGATTGCAACATTGCTGGATGGTCTACCATTTAATTCTTTTGTTATACGTTTTGGTAACCAGTTTTTTTTTTCTAAGACGGACTAACTTGTACCAAATATAATCGCTTTGTTTATGAAGTAAAAGTTTATCTATATACCTTTCGGATACCAAACCGCAT